GCCGCGGGGTCCTCGCTGGCCTTATTTGGTCCGCGGCCTGTCAGTTAACGCTGGGGAGGCGGGGGGACGGCAACATTTCTCTGTGCAGACGGGAGGGGGCCGCGAGGCGTCTACCACCTTTTGGAGCACCGAGGTGCCAGAGAGGCTGCGGGACTGGCCAACTTTTGCAGCAAAAGCCCGTCCGAAGTTTAGGTCGCCCCTAAAAACAGCTTGGCGTGCTTGAGGGCAAGGGGCAGAGGGCTGTGCCGCGCGGTAACCCAAGCGCGGGAGACGGAAAGCGGAAGAAAATCTGAATTCAGGGAACAAGTCCCCTCTGCTGGGCTCCCGGGGCGGACCCTCTCCCGCGCCAGCACCAGAAGCAGGAGAGGCCTCCGACAAGCGCGGATCGTAGTGCACGAGCTCAGCACCCGCGCCCCAGCTCCCCTTTGGGGACCACGGGCCAGCTCTGAGGAACCAGAGCAGCCAGCAGGAGGTGCAAAGGGCCCTGCTCAGCTCCGGGAGCGATGGCTCCCATGCTGCCTGTTCTTCTTGCTGGCATTGCTTGTTGATCCTTCTATTTAAAGCAGAAAATATAAAGCCTATCTGCTGATTGCCAAAGTCTACAGCTTCCTTTCCCTTATAGGATAATCTAAAAGAGCATGCACAGGCACCCAGTGCCTACCTGTTGCAGCAAAGAACATCTCACTTCTACTACAGCCTTAGTATTGCTACTGTTACTGTAGTTATTGGTTATATACATTTTTTTTCCTTTTCTACAAGCAAGCTATTTCTTATCTTTTCTCTCCTTCTCTCACTGAAGGCATCCAACTACAGAAAGCCTGGCTTAGGTACAGCCCAGCGGAAGAAAAGTGGTTTGAAACCTGAACTTACTGAAGAGCAAAAGCAGGAGATCAGAGAAGCTTTTGATTTGTTTGATACAGATGGATCTGGAAGCATTGACGTAAAAGAACTGAAGGTTTTTAAGTGTTTTGTTTTGTTGGATGGAAACATCTTCAGTTTCTAAGTTGTAGCTGTTAGCTTTCTGTTTGTGTCGCCCTAGCTTGCTCAATTTAAAATGATTTTGGTGTATGAACAACAGTAACTGCTTGAATTTTTGACTGGATGTTAGGTTTACACAGTTAAGCTGAGAAAGCTCTGATTTGGTTGAGAGTAGGCTTCTTGAATACATTGGTGGTAGGCCAGGTAAGCTGTAATACCCGAATGGTAGAGATTAAATTGTTTCTAAAGAAACAGTATCCATTTCTTAAGTATCCTTATAACTGGAAAAGGTCATTATTTCTGGGAACTGGATTTCTGTTCTTTTGGGATGAATTGCACGGTATCAAAACACTCATTCCAAAACAAAACACATTGTTTTTCCACATATCCAGGAATGATACAACCATATTTTTATATATTTAATCCCCTAATCACTTTTTTTTTTTTAATAAAAGAACAACACAACGATCTGAGTTGCAGTTTCAGTAACATGCGTACGGGGAAGTACCCTCAAGTACAAGGGCAGGTTATTCCAAGTTCTCTTCCTGTTGATTTTTATCTTTGATTTTTCTGTTTGTTTGTTTTTCAGAGCCTGGACCTTTCACCTTACTTGTCTTTGTTCCTTTGATTTTTCACATACACTCTATATTTACTTCTGTGCACGTTACATGAAAGTTAAGGGTCCCCTAAGATGTTTTTTGGAAGTATTTACACTTGGTTAAGGAGTGTTTGTCATCAGAATGCAGTATGTTTGTGAAAATACATAGTTCTTTAAGATGGAATGAAATTTTGTAGCATCAACCACTTAATGCCACATCATTTTTCTTTTTAAAAATTCTTTCCAAAATGTGGATATTTTATAACAGGAAGGACTCCCCTTTGAACAATGGAATGGAACATTTTCAGTCATCCTGTCACAAGGCCTTGGTCAGACACCACACCAGCTAAATATTAAGTTTTTGTTGAATTGGCATTTTCCAGTAGAAAAAAAAAAACATTTTGTGAAAACTTCTGCCCCATATTAAATATTGCTTTCCCTTTGAGTATAATACATTTAATAAATTTAATACATTAGTACTTTTGTTCTGTGAGATTGAGATTTGCTTTGCTTTGCTTTGACTAGCAGCACAATCAATCTTGGATGATTTTTCAAGTACTGTCCCTCTTCCCCTGTGCCAAGCTTAGGGATATGGATTTTGCCTGTTTATATGTGCTAGAGTGTGTAAATTAACTGCATGTAATTCTGGACCCATCAAAAGTAATAGGCATTCTGCCCTAAATTTCAAAAGGAGTGACATAACCTCTTGAACCTCCCTTGAAGTCCCATTTTAGTAATCCAGTCCCTTTAGGAACCACGTTCCTGAAGCTATAGTCCAGAAACTCAGCTTAGAACCTCTTCCTGACTGAGACACAAAAGTTTCTCTTATTTTCAAAAAGAAAAACTCCATGTTTCCTATGGAACCAAAGAGAAAATATGATTGAGTCTTAAGAATATCAGACCTCTGCTACTGCTGATGGGAAATATGAAATAGGCAAGTAAGAGACTTGAGGCTATTTTCCTTGCCCTAAGTTATTGCTACCCTTTTGGAAAAGGGATCACTAGAATTCTGATGGCATCCTAACAGAATGGCTTTTCTGTGCAGGTTGCAATGCGCGCTTTAGGCTTTGAGCCGAAGAAGGAGGAAATTAAGAAAATGATAGCAGATATTGACAAAGAAGGAAGTGGCACCATTGACTTTGAGGACTTCTTGGCAATGATGACGCAAAAAATGGTAGCAATTAAAAAAATGATGTATGTCTCAGTATCAAAAGATACTGAAAAGGGGTATCTCAGTAGTAGGTGTGTTATTATTTTTTATTCATGTTTTAGAGTGAGAAGGACTCAAAAGAAGAAATACTGAAAGCTTTCAGATTATTTGATGATGATGGCACAGGAAAGATTTCATTCAAAAACTTGAAGCGTGTTGCCAAGGAGCTGGGAGAAAATTTAACCGATGAAGAACTTCAGGTAAGTACTTGCTAGACACGTTCTAATGGGCATGGACCTATCCTGTACCTTCTGTAGCTCCAGTGAAAGCCTGGGCCTACACAAAAGGGCTAAGGGGTTAGAAGTGTGACGAGCAATAGAATACGTAATTATACCTGCAAATGAAGTGTTTCTGATTTGTTGTTTTTTAACAAACGTTAAGAGTTTTGAGTCAAGGTCAGTGCCTGATCAAATTTATGATATTTCTTCTAGGAAATGATTGATGAAGCTGATCGAGATGGAGATGGAGAAGTAAATGAGCAAGAATTTTTGAGAATCATGAAGAAAACTAGCTTATATTAGTGTTTGTTGCCTCGCTTTACAGCTGCTTCAAAAGGTGGCCTGGAAAAGACTTAAAAACAGGACTAATGTCTCTTACATATTTTATGACATTAAAAGAAGGTCTGAAAGGACAGATTTTTGGTTCGTTCTTTTTCAAAAATGTTAATTGAGGAAGGGGGCTTCAGTATCCAGAATAAATGAAATATTGCATGAATGAAGGATAAGGATGAATCTGCAAGATAGGATCTTTTAATGACAATTTTGGTAATTGCCATTTGGAGTAAAAACTACTCTATATTGGTTATTTCAAAGCCCAGTAATTCCCACTGCTTTGGGGAAAGGCTGTCTTTGAGTTTCCTACAGCTGCATAAGGAAATCTTCTATATGTTATAGTCTTAAAAGTATAAGCACAGTATTTCTATTCCTTTTAAGTCTTTTAGGTCATCTTTTGGTATGTTGCTTTTGCCTGTTTCCACAAATGACTCAAAATCAATTGCATACCTATGGTTATTTCTGTATGAAACACTGAATTCTCATGGCAAGTTTTTTTGGACCTGATGGGAAGCAAATGTGCATAACCAGATATAAACTTTCACTGACAGCCACCTGCCATCTTTATATGTTCAGTTATTTAATAATTCCATGATTGTCCGAAAACTGAAGTCTCCTGCATTTATCAGTTAACTGTGTAACCATGCAATGTCTTGTAGTGCCTTTGTACTTACTCCCACATTGTTAAAATATTTTTTACTATGTTACTATTTCAAGTAAGTAAGAAAAGCTCCGTGCTATGGTTCCCTAGGGTAATTTCTGTCCTTGGCTGTTTACAGTCAAGTGGCAGGGACGACCTGCATCTGAAATGGAAAAATAATTTGCTACCTTGGACAGCTGTGAAACATTGAATGTATAAAGCTCCATCAGATCAAAATTCATTTCAGCCATCACAGCTGTTTGATTTTGGGAATAGTATTTTCTTTTCTTGGCTATTTCTCATGTACACAGTCAATTGTGGACTTGTGTGGAGAGCCACACTTCCTTCCCTTTTACAGACCCTATTACAGTTTGCAATTAGGCAGTTAGCTTCCATCTGCAGGGAAATCCTACGATCCTAACCCATGTTCTCCCTGTAAGTTTATTACCTCTGATGTTGAAATGGGGTGGGCACATCCAGCTCAAGCCCTCCAGGGTTCTGCACCTTGAACTTCTCTCTCTGAATAGACCCTCTCTAATTGGCACAGCAGTAGCTCAAACTTGTGGGAGAACAGGGGTCACCTTAAGTTTCCTGGGAAACTCAGAGATCTGTGAGGCCCATTATTAATGTCATCAGTGGCAGTAGATGTAACTCAAAATAGTGTAAGCTTTTTAAAATGTGTATTAACTTTGTATAGTGTGAAATAAAACTGTTTTGCAAGTTTACGACTCAGTGAATGTACCTTACTATTCACCCTTATTTTCAAAGAACCATTTAAAACTGTTCATGGTTCACCAAGTACCTTTTATCTTTCATTCATCTTTTCTTTCTAAGAGAGAAATTCCTAGGTGCAGCAGTCTAGCACATAATTCTTCTCCCTCTTCCACTATGCTGATTAAAAATTTCTAGTACTAACCACTTACATTCATAAAAGGAAATTTGAAGTTATAGAAGTTATGGGGAATCCCAGAGCCTATTAGAGTGACTGTACATTTTTTTTTAATGCTGCCACAGGAAGAGCTTAATGACTGTTGTTTACCTATGATGCATGTCCCTTCTCTCTTCCTGTTCTGGTGCCATTGCTTAACATGTGAAGGTAGGAAAAAGATTCACAGTCCTACCTACTGATGATGAAATTTTGTGTCTGCATTACCTATAAATTCTAAGTCTGGAATTTCAGGCAGTGGCTGAAATAGCGCAGAACTTGCCAATGTCCATGTAAGAAGCAGTACCACATGCTGCTTTAGCTCACGTTCCAGCTTGAGGGTTTTTTTGCCCCCTCTTCAACCAAGCGAGGCAACCACTGCGTGTGGTGGCTTAAATGGAGCAGCAGCACCAGCAGCCTAAAGCAGCAGTGCTGTGGTTGTACGCAAAATATTTTCAGCATCTTTGTGAGTCTTTCCTGCTCCATCAAGAATTTTACCATTTCCAATCCTGTACGTGGTAGAGAGATACCACAGCCTGACTGAAGCCAAGCTTGAGAGCTGGGTTTGTGGGGGAATGGGGGCTGAGCTGCCCCTGAGGGGATGTCACCTCTCTGGGCTAGACACAAGGCCGCCTCTCGGTGAATCTTCAACCTGCCCAGCAGACTTTTTTTTCTGCCGTCTGTTCTAGAGACTACTCAAATAGTTCATCCTAAGTGGGGCAGCTTTGGGGGAGCAGGGAGATTACTGGCACCCCTCTCCTACTTCTTCTGCTCATGCTATGGGGACCGAGGCCCTGCCCCGTCACAGGGTTCCCCCTGGGGCCACCTCAACCCCTTTCCCACCCACAGCGTGGGGGAGGCTGCTGCTGCTTACCCGGCAATTGCAAGTTGAACTCAGATGGCCCCAAAGGGGGGCTCCTCCTCCCACGATACCAGTGAAGCCAGGTTTGGGGGTTCATGCTGCTCAGCCTCTGTACAAAAGGAAAAGAGGAGCGGCGATTTATATTTACCTGAATACCAAAGTCTGACTAAGGGATAATTAACTAGGCTGTTAAGCATCTAATTTGAGAGAATTTATTTTCAGTTGGGTTCCAAAACATGTCAATCACATGGCAACTTTAAATTAAGCTTTGCTGTCATCTCCACTGTGCAACTTAAAATTCTTCCTTTTTTTTTTTTTTTTTTTTTCTCCTCATCTCACACAGCCTTTTTGATCTGCCAGTCCCACAGCAAAGCAATCCTCAGTCGGCTTTGAAATAACAAACAGAAGGTTACTCCCTGGTTTGGGTAGATGCTGCTGATTAAGCCGCGCTGGCAACCTGAGACACCCGACTGTGCCGCCTTGCCCACACGGTGGTGGGAAGCGGGTACCGGCAGCACTCTTGAAGACTGCTCACTCACTGAAGTTACACCTGTGCCAGATATATGAAAAGTAGTACGCTGGCCAGGCACCTGTGATTGCAAAAGATAGGAGCCCTGTTTCTCATTATGTGAGGGGCTCTTTTAGTTAATTGGCAATGAGTGCTATGCTCTCATTCCAGGAGGCATTCGGGAGTGAGACTTCAGAGCAAAAAGCAAGAGATCAATTTCTAATGCTGCAAGAAAATAAACAGCAGCTCTTTTTTAGTTAAAGCCTAATCTACACTGGTATTTAGAGTAGGATGGAGGGGGCGAGGAAGAGGGAAAAAAAAAACAAAAAAAACTTTTAGATGCTGTCACATGCCAAGACTCCTAGTGATAATTACAGTGGGAGCCTTAACATTTGAGTAATTTAATGAGATATTTGAGATTAAAATCATTGAGAGTTTTGTAGAATAACTCAAGTATCCCGCAAACTGGTGAAATCATACCGCATTTTTGCAATGCTAAGAATTCATTCCCTACTTACTGAGTTCATACAAATCACACACTGCCACAGTAAATTTGCATTAAACCTCTGATCGATTTTGAGAAAGAGTCAGGCAGGCAAAAGTGCTCCAGGCCAGGATTCTCCATCACCACATTCGATACATGGAAACACATTTTCTGTCATGGCCTACATCCTTCTGCGAGGCCAATAAAAAGGTTGATGTTTGACCTACTACTTGCATTTACTTCATGCACTGGCTGGTGCTTTTGGCTCTGTATGTGCACTGGCATGTTATGGTGCCTTGAGGTGGTTCATTTTTACAGATATTCATTCTCTTCCTGAAATGCCAAAGTCAAAGCAGCACTGCTGAGACTGAATCCAGGCCACCATCAGCCCTTCTGCTCACTCATAATTTAACATTTTTCCTGCTGTGGTTTGTTTGAAAATTATTTTTGTTTCCTTACACTGATAAACACAAATGAAGACAAGAAAAATGCTGAGCACGAAATGCTCCAAGACGTGAGGCTTGTGCTAATGGAAACTAGTTGCAGCCGCTCATCACATTTTACCAGGCTCAGGCATGAGGCAACAGTCAAGCAGCCACAGAGGATGAACCTCTGAGATCTCTTAACGTGAGCGCGGGACGGGCGACCCAGCAAAGTGCCGGGCACCGCGCTGGGGTCATCCCTGGCCCCTGAGGAAGTAAATCCTAGGAGGGTAACTCTGCAGTGAGAATTTCTTTCTGTCACCTGTACGTGGTGTAACTGAAAATGGAGAGTTAAAAACAACCAAGAACACTGTCAGGCTGAAAGGCAGGCGGCTTGGGCAGACGCTTACCTGGAGTGTTGCAGTGGACAGAAGGCCATGACTGCCTTGCCTCTCCAACCCAAAGTTACTGTGTAAGCCTCAGCAGCCTAGGCCCGAAACAGCAATTTCCATGGGTGTTTCACACTCTGCTTAACTACAGGATACACTCCTATTTTCTTCCCCACTAAGATAGATGTACAACTCCTTTCATATCTCCCTCATCTGCAGGAAAAAAGAACGAATAGAGCTGAGAGCGTGACACAGTTTCGCTAGAGGGCATCCAGTTACAAATGTGCAAGATCCATCACGCTTGTTTCCCTCCTCTGCGGCTTTTAATGACGAGCAAACATAGGCTAACAAACCCCATGCAACTGGGGCTTGAAATATGCGGTTAGATACAGAAATTAAAAACAAAAACTTTTTCACGCAACTCCAGTGCAAAATGCTATAATTATTAGTTGGTTGTTTAAGCTAAACCCCCAAACCACACTTTCTGAAACTCCCACTCTGTACCAGTAACGACAAACAAGCTCTCAGGGGAGTAGAGAACTGAACTTGCCTTTCATAGAGCCCCACTGAGTGCTCTGACCACTGCTCGAGAGACTCCTTTTCCTCTCTCTCTGGGATTATCTCTCTCTAATGGAAGCACTTCACGCAGAGACCCTGAGCCAAAGCCACTGCAGGACACTTATGGCTCTCTCTTGGAATGCTAGAATCATGGCCTTGCTTCGAACCAAGGGGAAGGAGGATTTGAGAACCAGGCTCTTGTTTCCGAGGTGAGTATGCCAAACTTAAGGGGACTGTCTATATGGGAATTAATGTGTCTCGTTATAATGACCTTCTGGGGTGGGCAGTGACTCAAAAGACATGTTTTCAGGAAAACGGCTGACCTAAACTCCCA